ATGGTAGTTTGAAGTCAACTGTCGGTTTATAGACTTTTTGTCGTATGAATTTGCGTTGGCCAGTGTGTACTACGTGGAAGTAAGTCTATCGCGCACCCCTCCTTCGAATATAAATTTACTCAGGAACCAGGCGACAAATCCTGATTATTCGACCATTTGGACAGGAAGAGGCGCAGTATGTATGACTTTCTTTCACTCAGATTTACTGTTCCAGTTGATCAACATAATATCTCGTAAATTGAGCTGAAACTAGTTGAATAAGGGGGTCTTGAGATCGCAAAACAATTCTGAGTTTATTTGAATTAGATGTATGTAAAATATCGAATTGCGCACCTTGAAATGTTTATGGCATTTTAGTTGTAAGTTAAGTGTTCCTCAGTATGATCCAAAATCCGTAAAGAAAAAACACCAAATCCAACATACTGTGGGTGATTTCAACATTACAACAGCAAAAAAGAGGTGCTCGATAGACTTACCTCCATGTGGTGCACCCTGGGCAACGTATAGTCATACGGCAAAAAAGTATTTAAACCGCAGTTGACTTCTGACTTAAAACTATCATGACCCCACTGTATGTCATACTCGTCTACTTCCACAACACTCACCACACCTTACCTTTTTCTCTCCATTTGTGTCTGTCTGTCTGGCTCTGTTACCTCTGTGAATCCTTCTTCTGTTCCCCTCCTCTAATTTTTCTCACTTTAATGTTCCTACCCACTGTGAAGCCGAAGTTAACTGAAGGGCTAATGATAACTATCATAAGGTCAGCCATTTGATATAGATAAGTAAATAATAAAAAGATGTTTAATTTTCCATAGCTCCAGATTATTTGTCCTCCTGAGAATTGATCGAAACTTGTTGTGACCTCAAGAGTACGTTATAATGCACACAGAAATTGGAGCGCCCAGTCATTTGGGGCGACCTCAAAATCTTCTACTGAGCTAAGAATTTGCGCAGTTTATCTGAAAATTGTATATTATCCTACATGACTCTTCATTCAAGTGACATTTTAAGCATAGGGACCATTGAGGTGAACATTTCACTGTATCTACACTTCATCACCTCTTCCAAAAATCCTGCAAATAGTTAAGCTTACTTCACAATCCTTCTACGGTGTTCCTGTTGAGAAGATTTGATGGAATGAGGAAGGAAAAGCTTATAAAATTCATACGAGTGGGAAGCTGTCACCAAATTCTATTTGCACATGAATTCTTATGCCTATTTACAACCAGGCAAATTTTCAGCATAAGCCCTACTTGTGCGCGTGATTATGTGTCGATGAGTCACCTAAGGTGGTTAGTCATTGACTGAATTAATTTCGGTATAAAGTAATTGGGAGGAAAATCTGATGGGATTTGAGTTATGGGGAATTAACTATGACGCATAAAGCGAAAGCCCTTCAGAATGAGAAAACAATCTGCAAGAGTTATTGCTGAGTGGAAGTGGCCTTGAGGGGATGACAATACTATTATAAGAGATAATTTTTTATGTCAAAGTTCAAATTTGAATGAATGTACAATTTTGACGTTTTATTAAATTCAACAGTTAATTTCATGTATGTTGCTCGATGTCTAAAATATAATTAAAGCACCAACAAGGATCAAATTTACAACCAGAGACAACATTGTTCTCGCCAAATGAATGCTATTAAATTCTAGTTTCTGTAACTATGAGTATTAAATTCACCTTTATTAAGGTGAACACCCATTGGAGATAATGAAAATTATGAGTAACAGGGCTTATTTAAAAATACTGCACATCAGTTATTAAAATTCAATTTAATGCAAACTGATCGGCATAAAACTCTTGACCTCCTAAAAATATACAATTTTGATTAAATTTTGTTCATTCTGGTATTTATGCCTCATGTTATTGTTTGCGTATTCATCAACTTACCCTGTTCTAAGAAATCGGTTCCAAAAGGAATAAATCTTACTTATCGGAATTACTCAAAACGACTATAGACAGAAAAGACGATCCAAGGCGATAAATACAAAGAAATTCTTCATAAATGAACAAGTACCACAAATATGGGTGATTAATTCTTTTGATCCTAAATAGATTTGAAAATAGAAAAATGAATTAAATCTTTTGTATCATAGTCGTTTTGGACCAAATTTCAAAATTTGCTGTCGACCCAAACCATACGTACATTTTAAAATCTGAAGAAAGAATATAATGTTTGCCAATTGCCATGCATTTTCCACGATAGTCCGTTTTGCTTTGATGATTTGTTATTATGTACAAACTTAGTCTTATTGTCTGTTTATGAATGGATAATAAGTAAGCATAAATTCCAGAAGCTTGCTGAGCTATCTATGGCTAAAAGAACCTTCAATTAACTATCACTTAATATGTACATAAATGCGTTTAGGTGGGACTTTGCCAACGGGATATTAATTACAATATTTGGAAAAGGGACTATAAGACATACTTAACACTTACATCACAAAGAGTCTTCGTGATCGCCTTATAATGAATGTCCCTTATCAGTGATAAACTTAAATAAATAATGATAATGTCGTTTAATTTAATTCTTTTGGTAAATATTAATAATAATTTAATAAATAATATAATATTCCGAGAATCTTTTATAATAAAGCTATTCACCTTTTTAACAAATTTAAAGTGACAAAACAGTTAGGAGAAATACATTATTCAAATGTGGTCATATATGTTTATTCTAATACATAGGTTAGTGTGCATTCAAATTATTTTGGCTGTGCCCGTTGGCGCGTTGAAGCTTACTTTCGTTAAATATGGCTGATGGTGATTTTGAAGTCGATGTTGATGATAACGATACATTATCAGTGATGCCACTGTAAGTTTATTCATTAATAGTTTCCATTAATTTACATAGAGGCGCTGGGCAAGAAGTTGGGCGTTCCTGCATCTTGCTTCAATTCAAAGGGAAGAAAGTGTTGGTATGTTTCCATACTTGATTGACTAATACCTGTAGCTTGACTGTGGGATCCATCCTGGTCAAACAGACAAAGCAAGCCTGCCATACCTTGATAACATTCCAGATATCACAACTATTGATCTTATCCTCATAAGCCAGTATGAATATCACGCACAGTCTCTTTATTTAGTCATCACCCAGTTATCATTTAGATCATTGTGGAGCCCTTCCTTATCTCTTATTAAAGACTAAAATTAAGGCAAAATGCTATATGACATATCCAACAAGAGCCATCTATCGCTATTTACTAGCAGATTTTGTGAAAGTCAGGTATTTTATCATACCTCAAACTTACATCCTTTTTGTAGCAACTCAGGCATTGCAGATAACGTACTCTATACTGACAACGATATCGTGAAAAGTTTGGAGAAAATAGACCCATTTGACTTTCATCAAGTGCTTGAAGTAAATGGAATCAAGTTCTCCGCTTATCATGCCGGTCATGTTCTTGGTGCGGCAATGTTCTTGATTGAAATCGCTGGTGTGAAAATTCTATACACAGGCGATTTTAGTCGTGAAGAGGATAGACATTTAGTCTGCGCTGAAGTTCCTCCCTGTAGACCAGATGTTCTAATCACTGAATCCACTTACGGCATTCACATCCATGATAAGCGAGAAGATCGCGAAACCCGTTTTACTGGTCTCGTACACGATATCGTATCTCGTGGAGGTCGATGTCTTATTCCAGCCTTCGCCCTTGGCCGTGCTCAAGAACTGATGCTCATTTTGGATGAGTACTGGTCGCTTCACCCCGAGTTGCAAAATATTCCAATCTACTATGCTAGTCAGTTGGCTTGCAAGTGTATGGCTGTGTATCAAACCTTCACTTCGGCTATGAATGAGAAGATTAGAAATCAGTTAGCCAATAATAATCCCTTCTGCTTTCGATACATCTCCAATCTACAGTCTCGAAACCATCTTGATGACTCCGGTCCCTGCGTTGTGTTAGCCAGTCCTGGTATGATGCAGAATGGTCTGAGTCGAGAGCTCTTTGAGAATTGGTGCACTGATAGGCGTAACGGAGTTATAATTGCTGGCTATTGTGTAGAAGGCACTCTGGCTAAGCACGTTCTTTCAGCACCGTCAGAGATTAGTACGATGACGGGTCAGAAGTTGCCGCTCAAATGCACTGTCCAATACATCAGTTTCTCGGCCCACACGGATTATCAACAAACTAGTGCCTTTATCCGAGAGCTCAAACCTTATCATGTGGTAAGACCTTTTCAGTAATTTTTGTCCAGTTTGGTCATATTGGAGTACGAAGTAGTTGGACTAATAGTTTAATTTTTTGTCCATGCGTAATAGGTCTAGTTTTTAGATAAACCGTTAGAAGTTAAATGCCTTAGTTTTAGTTCTTTTAGATGCTTTTATTACAAGTCGGTCCTGATTTTCACGAAAGCGTTTTTTATTTACTTTTCCACCTCATAAACGAGTGTGTTGTATAATCGAGTGTGTGCTATTACTGTCCTTCGATGAACGGTGACCTTTTAACCAACAGAATTTGCCTTTAATTTTGTTGTAGCGTTAGGGTTATAGAGATAATTGAAATCATTAATAACCATGAAACTAACTTTGTTAATGTACTAAAGAAAATTAAAATTAAATATTTTGCTTTTAAAAGGCAGCATACAAGTTACCAGCTAATAGTTCTTCAATTTCATTTTGATAAATTCTGGTACATTGCCTTGTGCTATCTGACGAATGTGAAAAATTCCATCCAAATGCTCTCATAGTTGAGCTGTATGGTCAAATAGACACCAATTACAACTTGAGTTATTATTATGATCTACTCTTGCCTATTAGCTACTGTAATCAGCTCTTTGATTGTCTGAAAAATTGCCCTGTCTGTAAATCCAATTTGATTAAACCTCAGTATGAAGTGGTCCAAATCACCATGTCTTCCGCGGTAGTTTAAAGTCAATTTCTCGGTTTATAGACTTTGTTGCCTATGAGTTAAGGATAGCCAATCGTCTTTATGGTTGGTCATAATATTTTGATTAGATCTGAATAATGGCAGGCAGAAGAGCTAGTGAAAAATCTAGGATTTATAGGGAAATTTGTATTAAATACCCATTTAATTTCTGGTTTATTTCTAGGTGCTTGTTCACGGTGAACAAAATGAGATGATGCGATTGGCTGGAGCTCTAAGGCGTGAATATGAAGACGACGACACCTACCAGATAGACGTTTATACACCAGCCAATATCACCAGTGTTAATCTTCGCTTCAAAGGTGAAAAGGTTGCCAAGGTCCTTGGAAGCCTAGCGAAAGCAAGAGTCGGTGCAGAGAGTGATGTAAATGGTAAGAAGTCTAATAAACTCTCCGGAGTCCTTGTGAAAAAGAACTTCAATTACTACATTATGGCGCCCACTGAACTGCCCGTCTATACGGAATTGGCCACAACTGAATTAACTCAAATTCTCAATGTGCACTTCGCTGGTTCTGCTAGTCAACTTCACTACAACCTCCTCCTCTTGACTAATGATTTGAAAGTTGTGGAGCAATCAGTGGAATATTCAACTTTCCTCGCTTTCGGGGAGGTTGAAGTGACCTGGCAGGCAAATGTGGTCCGTGTTAAAGTAAGCTATAGCTCCTACTAACAATCACCTAAGAGTAGCGTTTTACCGACATGCTGACCTATTATATATTTTACTTTCAGTGGATCTCCAATCCTGTTAATGATATGTACGCAGATTCTGTCCTGTGTGTGGCAATGCAACCTTCTACATACGAAGGTGATTTTTCAAGCAATCCCTAATTTTTGTTAGTAGTACTGGTGGTAAATAATGCGCTATTTTGTCTCGCTTTGTCAGGTAGAATTGAGGAGTTCAATCCAGCCAAATTTCGTGGCGCTCTCAGTATAATGCTTACAGACTCCTTTGGACCCAGCTGTCTGGATTCCTTAAATGGTGTTATTGATCCTCAAGCTGAGAGCGTTGTAATGACGGTGGATGAAAAAACTGTGGAGATTGATCTTAACAATTTGGTGGGTGAATGAAGTTCAATTTCGGTTAACTTTGATGGTTTTAAGTTAAAATGGTTAATTAGAAGGCAATGAGCTTAAGATAAAAGGAGAAGCTCGATTATTTCCGATTTCTTGAAGAAAATTCTTTAAAGGAATATGTTCTCTAGTTGAAAATATTTATTTGTATCAAATGCCAGGCATTTTGATAGTTATCATTAGCCCTTTAGCTGACTTCGGGCTTCCCAGAGGGGAGGAACATCAAAGTGAGAAAAATTCGAGAGGGGGGGGGAACGAAAAGTGATTCACAGATAGAAACGAGACAGACACAAAGGCAGAGTAAAGATGAGGTGAGTATTGTGGAAGTAGTCGAATGTGACACGCAGTGGGGTCATGGTAGTTTGAAGTGGGAAGTCAACTGGCGGCTAATAGCTTTTTTTATTGTACGAGTATATGTTGCCCAGGGTGCACCACATGGAGGTAAGTCAATCGCGCACCTCTGATTGAGAATATAGAATATTGTTAACTTTATGTCTTACTTTAATAAATTGTGTATAGGAAGAGCAAAAATATTGTTTTCTCGGTTGCTCAAAATTAATATTTACTGATATTTCGACTTTTAGACAGCGAAATGTGAAGAGAGTCAGCTATTGGAGCATACGGTTGAATCGATGGTTCGGAGGCTTTATAACTGCCTGTCTTAATTTTCTACTTGTTGTATATCTCATTTTATACTCCGTGTTTGTAAAGTATATGAATTAGAATACTTTTATTTATTTTCTGCAATGTTTCATTGGAATTTGGGGAAGGCCATCGTATTGTATGGGTTTTGGGGTAGGGGGGGGGGGGCATTTGTCTTTTATTACATCAAAGTTTCTGGCAAGGCTTAAGAATCACTAAAATAGGATGACTTCAATAGTTTTATTAGAAATTGGGTTAACTTCCGAAATACTTTCATTTTTATGGTGGTACTCGATATTGGCTCTTTCATTTTGCATTGTCACTCCGCTAATGCCTCGCTTTGCTACAGTAAAACAGTTCCAGGAAATGAAACTGAATTGCATGGAAAGGCACCAAAGTATGTAATTTTGCTGCTTTCACATTGTTCGTAAGTGGAGTCGATGGAAACCTGTAAGGGATAGCGTGATTTGCTTCTAAGGCCAGTAAGGGAAAGAAGTGATATTTGTTGCATATTGTCAATCTCGTAAAAAACATTTTTACTAAATATATTTCAGTAGAATATTTGTTTTAAGTTTGCTAACATTTAAAATAATGATATCGCTTCTAGCAATAATTCGACTTTTTAACAACTGCTATAAATGAAATCGTTAAAGATCGTAATGCTTCTGTTACTAACATGATTACTGATTCAGCTTGGAAGTAAACCCACTCACAAGAATAGTGGATTTCTCAGTCAGAGATATATTTTCCTTCCCTCAGTGTAGGAAATGGTATCATAAATTCTTCCATTGAAGTTTAAAGGTTAAATTAAGTTCTAAATGGAATATCTGCATCTTTATTTCAACTTCCCTGAGAACCCTTTGTTAATAACCTGATATTGGCACAATTCGCCAAAGAAGGGGGCCTCGATTTGGGACGCACGCAATCTTAGCTACTACCAGTGACGCATCATCTTTTTTATGGAAAGACAGCCGCGGCAGTTTCAGGTTTTAGTGGAAATTAACTTGGCATTTGGTTACTAAAATTATCCACCTTATTACCCTGCTAGAACATAAGTGGGTACATAAAAGCAAATACCTATTCGCCCTCTTCATCTTCAAAGTCCATGTAACTTACGAACTATACAAGGGGTTTCATAACTTCAGTATTTTATTTGTAAGGATAGAGATGATAACTCGGAATTCAACGTTAATTCTTTCAATTTCGTTCACAACTCAGCCTAAATTTGTGAACAGGCTTTAGAGGTCGTAGCATAAATTTAATTGAGCCTCTAACGTGATTAGTTGAACTGCCACCAATTATCCATTGGATAAGTTTGGCCTTGAATGAGTTAAGTCATTGGTTGTTGCTCGAATAGATGCTTTACTTCGATTTTGTAATTTTTCCTACTTCAATGTTCTCTGAATAGTATAGTGATAATTCAAATTTCTTTAGACCTCCTTTATACCCATTTACCTCACTATTGCGGATTCAACTTGTTCATCAGAGCGTTCTGTAGAATTTATTGAAAGTTTATTTATATCAAATGGCGGACGTTTTGATAGTTATCATTAGCCTTTAGCTGACTTCAGGCTTCACAGAGGGGAAGGAACATCAAAGTGATAAAAGTCGAGAGGGGGGAGGAACAGAAGAGCGTTTCAAAGATGTAAAAGAGACAGACACAAAGGTAGAAAAAAGGTGAGGTGAGTACTGTGAAATGATCGAATATGACATGGAGTCAGGTCATGGTAGTTCGGAATCAGAAGTCAATTGCCGGTTAATAGACCTTTTTGCCGTATGATTATACGTTGCTCAGGGTACACCATGTAGAGGTAGGTCTATCGCACACTCCGCAC